CACACACACTCTCTCTCTCTCTCTCTCTCTCTCTCTCACACGCACTCACTCGCACGCACGCACGCACTCACACGCACATTCTCACTCACACACACACGCACACACTCTCTCACTCACACACACACACACGCTCTCTCACTCACACACGCACACACACACACACACACACACACACGCGCTCTCTCACTCACACCCACACGCACACACTCTCTCACTCTCTCTCTCTCTCGCTCTCACACACACGCACTCTCACTCACTCTCTCTCTCTCTCGCTCTCACACACACGCACTCTCACTCACTCTCTCTCTCTCTCGCTCTCACACACACGCACTCTCACTCACTCTCTCTCTCTCTCGCTCTCACACACACGCACTCTCACTCACTCTCTCTCTCTCTCGCTCTCACACACACGCACTCTCACTCACTCTCTCTCTCTCTCGCTCTCACACACACGCACTCTCACTCACTCTCTCTCTCTCTCGCTCTCACACACACGCACTCTCACTCACTCTCTCTCTCTCTCGCTCTCACACACACGCACTCTCACTCACTCTCTCTCTCTCTCGCTCTCACACACACGCACTCTCACTCACTCTCTCTCTCTCTCGCTCTCACACACACGCACTCTCACTCACTCTCTCTCTCTCACACGCACTCACTCACACGCACTCACTCACGCACTCACTCACTTACTCACACACACACTCTCTCTCTCTCTCACACGCACTCACACGCACGCACTCACTCACACACACACACACACACACACACTCTCATGCTCTCTCTCACACACACAGGCACTCACTCACACACACGCACTCTCACTCACTCTCTCTCTCTCTCTCACACTCACTCACTCACTCTCACACACACTCTCTCACACTCTCTCATACTCGCACTCTCACACACACACTCTCTCATACACGCACTCTCACTCACTCGCACTCGCACTCTCTCACACACACGCACACACACTCACTCACTCATGACACTCACTCACTCTCGCGCACATGCACACACACTCACTCACTCACTCTCACACACTCACACACACGTGCTCGTAGTTGCGGCTCTGTTGTTTTGTCTATAAATACTACAGGAGTGTGAGAATTACACACTGTAATCAAAGCTAAAGATGAAAATGCTTGATATTAGATGTTTTTTTGGCCAGGCAGTGTATAGCACAGTGATTAACCAGAAAATTAAAAAAACGGCACTTCATGGCCAAAACATTGCCGACCCCTTGTGTGAATGAATTTTCCTTCAGTGATTATGCACACAAACACATTAATAGCTTTGACTTTTATTGCTTCAAACTGAAAATGAAATATGCTGTCAAAGGAGCCGTTGTAGAGGCAGCTGCTGTAACTGGAGATACACTTCCTCTTCCTGTCCAGCAGGTGGCTGGAGAACATGCTTGAGTCAGAAACTTCAGTTCACTAGATCTCACAGCCACCTGTCAAGAAAAGGTCAGACTTCTAAAAGTAATGGAGCTGATCGCTACTCACAGTATTCCTGTCTGTCAGAGTTACAGAGGTTCAGGTTAGGGTTTATTTCAGCGGTCAGCACTGTGGGTGGCATGACCAAAGAAATCTTTAGAATCCGCGGGGTTTGTGCTTAATTGATAATTTGGGGAGAAAATCACATCCATCACTAATGGATTCGTGTTATGACTGATTCTTTCACCCTGATGATGTTGATTTAAATCTGTGTTAGTCAGATAGTGTGTCTCTGCTCCTCAGTGCTTAGCTTCTTGTTTAACGAGAAGTGTGGGTTCAGTGCGGAGCGGCTGCAGCTGAGCAAACGCAGGGACTCTGTGGAGAGCGTGGCGGGGATGAGCTTGCTCTTAGCTGCGGAGCGTGTGCAGACGGGGAACTACATCTGTCTCGACTACATCATCGGTGACACAGGCATCGCTCACGGACGCCATTACTGGGCTTTCCGTGTGCAGCCTGATTCATACATGATCAAAGTGGGAGTGGCTTCTGACTCCAAACTAACAGAGTGGTTTCACAACCCACGAGACACCAGCAGCCCCCGGTGAGAACTCTCTCTCACACACACACACACACGCTCACAGACTCACGCACACACGCTCACAGACTCACGCACATACACACTCTCACTCTCACTCTCTCTCACTCACACACACAGACACACTCACTCTCTCACACACTCACTCATACTTTCTCTCTCGCACACACACAATCACACTCAAATCTACATTCACACACTGACACTCTCTCACACACACACACACTCGCACTCACTCACTCACTCACACTCGCTCACACACTCACACACACACACTCGCACACACACACACACACACTCACACACTCACTCACACACACACACTGACACTCACTCGCACACACACACTCACTCACTCACACACACACACTCACACTCACTCACTCACACGCTCTCACACACACGCTCTCACACACACACTCACTCACTCACTCACACACTCACTCACTCACTCACTCACTCTCTCTCACACACACACAAACACACTCACTCACTCACGCACTCTCACTCACGCACTCTCACACACGCACTCTCTCACACACGCACTCTCTCTCACACACGCACTCTCTCGCACTCGCACTCACACACGCACTCTCACACACACTCACTCACACACACTCACTCACTCACACACTCACTCACTCACTCACTCACTCTCTCTCACACACACACAAACACACTCACGCACTCTCACACACGCACTCTCTCACACACGCACTCTCTCTCACACACGCACTCTCTCGCACTCGCACTCTCTCGCACTCGCACTCACACACGCACTCACTTTCCCTCTCTCTCACTCACACACAGACACACTCACACTCTCACACACACAATCACACTCAAACATACACACTCACACTGATACTCTCACACACACACACACACGCACACACACACACGCACACTCACACACACGCACACTCTCTCTCTCTCACTCACACACACTCACTCTCTCTCACTCACACACTGTCACACACACACTGTCACACACACACTGTCACACACACACTGTCACACACACACTGTCACACACACACTGTCACACACACACTGTCACACACACACTGTCACACACACACTGTCACACACACACTGTCACACACACACTGTCACACACACACTGTCACACACACACTGTCACACACACACTGTCACACACACACTGTCACACACACACTGTCACACACACACTGTCACACACACACTGTCACACACACACTGTCACACACACACTGTCACACACACACACCGTCTCACACACACACACACACACACACATACCGCACAC